ATGCTGGAGATGAACAAACCTGCTAGGCTAAGCGCAGGACCACTGGGCTGCGCCCCAGCCTCACCCAGCACTCCCTGCCTAGGGCCCAGGGGAGCTCCCTGACTATGAACCCCCCGGATCCTTCTGGTGCCACCTAGGTAGCTCTTGAGCCCTCCCTTCACAGCTGTCCATTTCTAGCCTCTCTCCCAGGGCCGGGCGGTGGCTCAGTACCTGGGATTTGCTCCTGTCTTGTTCTTTCCTGTTTTCTGGAGTAACTTTTCCTGCCTTTTTTCATGGTCATTCCCAAGAAGAGGCTCAGTCACCATGATCTTGGAGAAATCTCCATATTTTCACTTCTGCCCATAGAACCCACGTTGTTCCTTTGTGGTTCTGAGAACTGCGAATTTCCTTCCACTTACACAATTATTTGACTAAGGACAGCTTCTCCTTTGTAAGCCCCTATCCACTCAACACTCTTCTACCACAGGGAGTGCACCCAGGGCCAGACTGCCTGAGCTCAAGCCACCATCTGTCACTTAGTGGCAGCAATGTAACCTTGGGCAAGTTTCTCAGAGGTCAGATGGGTCCTACCTGTCTCTTGGGTTGTTGTGAAGATTACAGAGCTTGAGATAAACTGCCTATCACCCAGGGAATACCTGTATGAGGTAGAGAAAGCCAGTGGTCCCACCCCTTCGCCTTGGTGGAAGCTCATGCTCTGGCCTTTGCCTCTTTATAGGGGGTGACATCATTTTATGAGTTTGACCATGTCACTTGCCTTGACTCAAAGAATGGGGTGGGAATCACTGTATTGTTTCTAAAACCATGCCATAGGTACAAGTACCCATTCGTCCTCTTGCACTTATGCCATTACTTTGAGAAGTAGCCTCCCAGGTCACAACCTCATTTCAGCCTAAGGCTAGAATGACAACAGTGAGCCCAGCCTGGCCCAGACCATCCAGTTCCAGGAGCCTTGAGGGTCAGTGACAATAAATGATCATTGTTTTAAGCCGGTGAGTTTGGGTGGTTTGTTGCCAGCATTTTTAAGAAATAGTTTATCTATCTATCTATCTATCTATCTATCTATCTATCTATCTATCTATCTATCCATCCATCTATCTATGTATCTATGTATCTATCTTCTATCATCTATCTATTCTCTCTGCTTCTCTGCCTCTCTGCCCCTCTGCCTCTGTCTCTGTCTCTGCAAGGCCCTAGCTATCAAGTCTGAGGCTGGAACTTGAGCTCCAGGCCTGCTCCGCAGGAAGGGAAGACGGATATAGAGTGGTGAGAGCAAGGACCAGTGGGTGCCTACAAGGAGACTAAAAACCATCAGTTTCCCTGGGGCTGGCCCTGGCCTTGAAAGCCCATGTTCAGACATGGGCAGGCTGGGCAAGAGGAGCTGGGCAGGAGGGGGTGGTTGATCCGTGGCAGTGGGGTTACCATAGCAACCTGTTGGCACACGGGTCACTACAGGTCTCCTGAGCCCACTCACCCGGATCCCGCTAGAATCCATGACACAGAAACACCCAAGACAAGGGATTCTCAGGAACTGTGCTCCAGTCACACCCAGTAGACACATTAGAAAGCTACCATGCTTTAAACCCTCAGACCAATTTTGAGGACAAAAGTCACTGATGAAAGGTGCTTGGAATGGTGTGTCTTAGGGTAACATTTTCCTGGGTGTCCTCTGTTCCAAACCTACGAGCCATAGGTGTGGCTAGAATGGTTACATCTCATGAAGTGGAAAAGGAAGTAAAGGCTGCCAAACACCCGTTAAAGGTGAGGTATTTCTCTTATTTGGTCTCATTTCATCCTTGAGGTGATTTTGGGGTGGGCAACTTATCAAGCCTCTCTCACAGAGGAGGATATCGGGGCTCATGCCTCCTTGCTCTTCCATGGGTTGGGCCTGAGCTCCAAAGGGAAGGGATTTATCCTTGGACAGAGAAGAACAGGTGAGCAGTGTAAGTTGGTGTGGTTGTACCTTACTGTGTTTATGTTTGCATTGTCGTAGTGCTTGGCAATGTTGAAAAGCTCTTCAGTATTTCCCATCTGTATCTGCAGATACTGGACATTCTGGAGCTGCACCCCCAGCCCCTTAATTTTTGTTTTTACTTTGGGAGGTTTCACTAAGCTGCCCAGGTTGGGCTTGAACTTGCAGTCTTCCTGCCTCAGTGTCCCAGAGTGCTGGGATTAAAACCATGTGACACCATAGTAGGCTTTAGAACCTACCGTGTGAAGTGTCTAAGTTCTTCGTTCATTTTTGAATTAGATTGTTTGGTTTTCACATTGTTGATTTTGGGGCTTCTCTATATATTCCGGCCCAAGCCCTTTGTTGGATACATGATGAAACAGTTTTTTCCAGGTGGTAGCTTTTTATCCTATGTGTTTTTGGATAACATTCTGCTTTCCAGACTTTATTATCTATTTATTTTTATGTAGTTAGTACAGGGTTTACAGGGTCTCACTACACAGATCAGATTCATGGTGATCATCCTGTTTATGGCCTCCCAAAGGCTGGGATTACAGGTGTACGCCACCATACCCAGTCTCACTTGCCATCTCAGCACTTCCTCAGGAGCGGGGCTGGCACAGCAGGCCTGGGGATTGAACCCAGATTAAAGCCTAAGCAGGTGCTTTAATCTGCTGAGCTATCTGGCTGGCCCCAACACACTTAATTTTTCTGAAGCCTAATTTCTCAACTTTTTCTTTCATGGGTAATATTTTTTGGTGTTGTGCATATACATTTCTGGTTTAATCTCAGATCAGAAAGATTTTTCTGCTATGATTTCTTCTAAAATTGTTGTGGTTTTCATTTTATATTATATCTGTGGTCTACCTGAAGGGAATTTTTGTGTGAAAAAAAGGCTTAGGTCAAGATTCTTTTATTTATTTATTTATTTATTTATTTATTTATTTATGGAACCGGGGATTGAACTCAGGCCTTTATGCTTGCCAGGGAAGCGCTTACTCTACTGAGCCATCTCCCAGGCACCCCCCCACTAGCCCTAATTTTTATTCTTACTTGCCCATGGGTATGCAGTTTCATCATCACTTGTTGAAAAACTACACTCTTCTCAATGACATGCCTTTGTACCTTTGAGGAAGCAAAGCTATGGGCTGGGGTGTAGCTCAGTGCTACAGCACTTGCCTGGCTTGCACAAGGCCCTGGTTCAATCCCCGGCACCACCAAAACTATGTCGTATTTGTGTGTGCGTTTCTGAATTCTTTAACCAGGGGTTAACATGATTTTTGTGAAGGATAAAACAGTAAATGTTTTAGATTTTGTGGTTCTATGGTCTGCTTTGAACAATTTGATTTTATGATTTTTAAAGACTATAATATAAAGACCACTCTCAGCTCACTGGTCACATGAGAACAGGCCATGGCCAGATTCGGTCTTCAGGTGAACATCTGCTGACCCTGTTGTTCTGCACCGTTAAGCTGCTTCTTCCCACAGCCGTCACCACACTGTGTCAAGGACAGAAGCTTTAGACGAGGTCTTAAAACCAGCGACAGGAGTTTTGCATCTCTATTTGCCAGTTCTTAATTGGGGCTTTTAGACTTGGGTTTTATGTAATTATTGATAGGTTTAGTCTTAGTCCTACCATTTTATCCCTTATTATTGTTGTTATTACTAGTACTCCTCTCTGCTTGCTATCTTGTGGGTTTTGTGATATCTTTTGAATATTTTCATTTCAATTTTTTCATTGTATTTTTTTTGCCTACATCACATGGCACTTTTTTCTATTGACACTTGGGATCAGTACAGTATACATACCTGAGTGTAGTCTAAGAAACAGTGCTTCACCACTTTAAGTGAAATGTGGTTATGTAACCCCATAGATCCTTAGCCCTCTCCCCTTTATGTAATTATTGTCTTATGATACCTACAAACATTGAAAACCCTACTGCACAATAACTCAAGAAGGAAGAAGAGTCTGCTGTATCCACGCAGATACTCCCATCTCCTGTTGCTCTTCTTTTACTCCAGAGGGCCATCCTGTCTCCTGGTATCTTTGCCTTCTACCTTTCAGAGCAGATTCATGAGGCAAGAATCTTTTAGTTTCCCTGTATTTGAGAATGTCTGTCTCAGACTGACAATTTCATTTTATCCCTGAAGGATGCTTTCATGGGCATATGAAGGATGATTAACATACAGTGAATGTTGAAATCAAAAAACTTAGTGCAATAAAGACACACTGCCACTAATCCCCAAAACACTCCTCACGTCTAAGGTACTCATCCATTATTCCTATTACTTTGTGAAGAAGTGCGTAGAGTCCTCTTCCATATGTTCACAAGGTATGATCAAAAATATGGTCACGAAGTTGCCATCTAACAGAAAAGCAGGCTCATAAAAGCATCCCAGTGCCCTGCTCCACCTTGCTCACTGGAGCTAGCACCGTGTGACTTCTAGCTCTATCTCAAAGTAAAAATGACCATGGAAGGTAAATGCTGGAGATCACTTCAGGACAACACAACTAAAGATGCTCTCGTGCCTGGACTGCCCAACCTGAGGGCTAAGGCTTTTCTCATGGAGACAAGGAAATTCTGGGAGCCAGGGCTGCAGGTGCTCTTTCTCCTTGGTCTGCCCCAGAGGACACACCGTACCACCATTCCCTCGACTCACACATCCAATTACGCTGCTCATGGGAGAGAGGAGGCTGACGCAAAAGCGTCTGTGCTCATACCTGATTCCAGTGTACATGAGCCTCTGCAAAGCAACTTAGAGGTGCAGACTGGCTCACTGGGAGAACAGTCAGATATTCCCTGCAAAACATCCGACCCAGCCCACCCCAGTCCCAAGGTGACAGGCAACAAATAGTTGGTAAATGCCTCAACGTTAAACATTTCTTGGCTAAAGCAGGATAGTCAATTTTGACAGTGTTATGAAAAATACAGCCTAATTTCTGTTCAAATGCACCAAATTTACTGCCCAAATTCTCATTAAGTACTGTCAAGGGAGAAGCAGACAGACAAGATAAATTATGAAAAAATTACTTTTTTAATGTACAAAAAGACTTATTTACAAGTTGAGCTTGTCATCTCAATTCATAGCATGTAGAAAAAGCTAAAAATGTTTTGGAGATATAAATTTGGCCAGACAATTCACCTACAATATATTCAAGGATGGTATCTTCTGCACAGAATATATACAGGCTGGGAACGGTGAGCACACTCCCAACTTAGGAGGGGAGCACACACCGCCACAAGCTGCAGAGCCTCGGTGATGTCCCAGGACTGTCATGTGGAGCTGGCCTCGTCTCTGGGCCTTAACAAGGAATTTGATGTGCTGGGACACAGGGGACCCGGATAATCAGGTTCTGGCCCTGCTACAGGTGTTGCTAAGAAGCTCCTCACCGAAGCCACGGTCACAGCAAGAATGAAGCTCTCAGTGATGTAGTTGGTTTGGCTAGGGTGCTACAAATTCAGCAGAAAGTCTGGGATGTGTGTGTGCGCATGCGTGCTGGCGCACGCATGCGTGATGGTGCAGAAGAGGCACTGATCCATCCCGCGGGATGTGCAGGAATGCTGTCTTCTTGGCGCCAGTTCTAAATTCCACTTCGAGGTGAGGCTTGGTTATACTGAATGGGAAAATTCAGTGATGATCCCTCAGAGTCCGAGAATCAACCCCTTCACCCTCCCACCCCACCCCACACACCATGCATGTCGTCATTCTCGGCCAAATAACGGGGAGGGGGGCATGGAGGTTAAAGAATCCAGAAGGTACTGGGACTGCACGTTGTGGCTTGGTATGGACCACTGGGCTGCTGGCACAGCTTAGGGGAGCCTGGGCAGAGGCCACTGTCAAAACCTTGCATTTTTCATGGTAAGGTGGGCAGATAGTGCATTGCAAAAGCAAGGCTGGGTAAACACGCGACCTCCTCTTCCTGCGGGTAATGCTCCGGGTGGCCTGAGGCTGGGCCGCTGGTGTGTCCCACCTCCTCCAGGCCTAGTCCATCTCTAACCCACAGCAGCTCCAGCAGCCCCGAGGTATTTAGGAACAAGCATTCTTTTCAGGAAGGGCTACATTCTCCATGCAGGAACACTGTAAACATGGGCAGCTTCTGGACTTACCCCACACAGTACGCTATTCTTTCCTTTCTCTGGCAATATTTATATATTTTATTTGATCACACACACTTGGCCAATCAGTGGTCCCAAAAGCTACTCCAGAGAGTGGAGAGGCCAACTCTACCAAACCTGGAATTACAATGTGTTTCAAAACATAGGTGCAGACTTGATTTTCTCCCCTCTGGCAAGGGACCCCAGCAACCTCAAGACTTAAGCTCAAAGGAGCAGCAGGGGAAGCCCTGAACTCCGTTTTGTGGCAGGTGGCAGAATGAGAAGGCTATCTTCTCGGAGCAGAATCGCCAGTGCTGCTTTCAGACTTGACCCAAACATGGTTTCTTACCCTCTCGCCACATGTACTGGGAAGCTGCCAGCCAACGTAATCCCTCATTAGCCAAATGACAGAGCAAAGAAGCCAGAACAGAGTGGTCCCATTAACACCAAAGGCTGGCAAGTGCTGTGTAAATGAGCTTTTCACTCTTCTCTTTCCTTTCCGGTTGAGATTATTTTTAGTGTTCCAGAATATAGTCCAAGAGACGGGAGAGGATGCCCATAAACCCTCTCTTAAAACATCTGTAGCCTGAACTGGCCACTGGCAGAAACTCTTCAGGCCAGCTTACTACTACTTTTTGACAAAGATGAAATGGATGGGAGAGTGGAACTGCTGCACTCCAGGGAAGCAAGGGCCCCTCTGGGCCTGCTCTGGGCCAGGGGTTGGGGCCTTAGGTCATCATGTTCAGGAACTTGTTCTCCTCAGCTAGGCTGGTGAGCATGGAGCTCATGTCTCCGACTGCCATGTTGCTGATGCCTGTGGGAATGGAGGGTAGAGTCAGGGAATTCCGGGGTGTGGTGAGGCGGGAGGAGCTCTGGGAGAGGTTGTGGAGGAGGCTGGGGCTCAGCACACCAGAAAACAGGCTGGAGTGGTCACCGTCATCCATGATGGCATCAAAGTCGATCTGGGGGGCCTCCAGGAGCTGGGAGTCAACAGTGCTGGACACCTGGTTGACCCCTGGTGAGGGCAAGGGCTGGGGCTGCACACTGTCTGGGCAGGCCTGGGCTTGTGGTGGCTGGGGTCTTGTGGCCAGGGAGCCTCTGTGGCCTTCCAGGCCACCGTTCTGTTCATACATGTGGATCTGCCCATAGTAGTAGACCATGCTGTGGTCCTGTGTCCCCCCTGCATCCTGCAGGGCCAGCTGTGGAGGCAGTGACCTGACGGTGCCCACTGCTCCCTTGGGCACAGCCTCTGCAGTCTCCTGGCTGGCTGACATAGCGGCCATGGCCTGGCCGGTGGCCCTGGCGTAGGCCAACTGCTGCTGCCCAGCACGTATCCCACGGTGGTGGCCAGCAGGGCTGGGCTCAAGGGGTGGGCGGGGTTGTACTAAGCCAAAGCTGGATGCAGTGGGCCCCAGAGAGCCCTGTTGAGGCTCCATGAAGCCAGACTGATGGGAAGAGAGGAGGCTGGGGGCCTGGCGGTAGCCTTCCTGACTCAGAGGCACCGTCAAGTGATGACTCTGTTGTGGATAGCCCTGGGCTGCATGCGGTGGTGGCACCCCCAGCTCCCCGTGGTTGCTGCCCATCAAGGTGGGGTCGGAGGCAATTTCCATCTGCGGAGGAAGCCCCAGGGGGCCTGGCTTGGCTGTAATGCTGCTGCAGGAGGTGGGGAAATAGTTCAGGGTCCCACTGACGCTGCTTGGGCTCAGGTGGGGGTGAGCCGGGCCATAGCTGGCATGGGGACTCCCGGCAGTGGTCATGCTACCACACTGGCCACCTGTGGCAGAGTGTCGAAGCTGCTGTATGTAGTTGCCTCTGGAAGCAGAGGGGGCTCCACCGCAGGGCTGCGTGCTATCCAGAACCGCCGGGCTCGGCTGCAGGCCCTGTGCACTGTAGCCAGGGCACTGGCCAAAGGCTGGCTTCTGCTGTACCACGGCCAGGTTGCCCTGGGGGAAGGGCGGTGGCTTCACTTGGCTGGGCAGGGTGTCCACAGTGCCAGAGCTCACCTCATTCCACTGCACCGGCATGTTATTTTTGTTCAGGCTAGAGGGTGTCCCATACCCGAGCTGGCAGCCTCCCATCCCAGGGGCGGAGGGGCCCACATTGGAGTCTGCAGCTGCTACCCTCCGATGGCTATGCAGCCCGGGGCTGGGCAGTCTGGGGTTCTCAGGGAAGCCAGTGCTTTCTGTGGGATACAGCTGCCTTGTGCTCTCATCCAGCGCACCACCAGTGTGCGCCTTGATGTACTGTACCACGTCATCCGGCAGCACCAGGTCATCTTCTGGCAGCCCCAGGTCCAGCTCGGGCCCTGTGCCATCCACCCCTGCGGCCATGGCCTCCATCACCACATTCTCGCGGATGCTGGGTGGCCGAGGAGAGTAGGCGCTGCGGGCCAGGCTGCCCTCCGCGCTGGGGTGGCCCTGCAGGCGGAGGCCCCGCCTCTCACCACAGGGCAGCATCAGGCCCGGGTTCACGTTGTTCGCGCTGTGGAAGCGCTGTACTCGTGGCAGGGTCAGAGCATCAGGCCGCCGCACAGGGTCGCTGGCCCGCCGTGCTCCGCCACCTGGCACCTCCTGTGGGAAGGCAGGCGCAGCCCCCGCGGGGCCGTGGCCATGGCCGTAGACAGGCCCGTCACTGCCCCGTCGTGGCCCCAGTGGGTGTGGGCATGCGCCTGGGAGCGCACGCTCAGGTGCGTCCAGCAGCGCCAACCTGGTCCGCAGGCCCACGCGCTCCAGGCCAGGCAGTGGCGTGGGTGGAGGGCCGCCTGTGGCCGCGGCATACTTGGCCCGTAGGCTGTATTGCTGTGCCGGAGTGAGGTTAAGCAACCCGGAGCCACCCCCGCTACACTGGCTGGCCTCGCTGGAGCGCCTCGATGCATCAGTGGAGATAGGGTCATAGGAGTCCGCGGAGCTGGCATTGTGGGGGCGGCCGGGGCCCAGGGGTGAGGCCTCGCTGGAGCGGCGACTGGAGAAGTACGGGGAGATGCCGGAGGAGCGGCGGCTCACGGTGTAGGCCGAGCTCACTGTGCTGGTGGAGCTGTCACGCCGCTCCTGCAGCTGATTCAGCATGGTCACCTCGCCAGCAGACAGCTCGGACAGCCGCGGGTTGGGCAGCAGCCCTGCTGGTCCGCCACCCCCAGGACCACTGAAGTTTTCCAGGATGGAGCCTGCGGGAAAGCAGAAGGGTCAGCTGTGGGGACGTGGGGACGTGGGGCCCTGCTCTGCCGGCCCTGCCCATGCTGAGGCAGTCTGTGGAGCTCTGAGGCCTGGTAGGGGCAGCACAGCAGACACTCAGGAGTGACAAACAGAAAGATGTGGAGCCCATGAGGGCTTAGGCAGTCTCCAGTACCTGCCCAGCCCATGGAGGGGGGTGCTGGCAGGGCTCCCCAGATGGAGTTCAGCAGCAGGCTGTTTGGAGGAGCACCCTGAGATCCCCAGTCGTGGGAGGAGGGAAAGGCTTCAGGAGCCCAAACGGGAAGGGAGCCAAGGCTGACTTTGCAGGGAGGACTGGACGTCCATAGGCCTTCAGTTGTCTGCTGATATGGGGGCACACTTACACTCATGCAGACCGGTGGCCGCCTGGAAAGGGGGACCCTGGACAAGGCAGCTGTCTGCAACCCAGCGATCCCTGGGGGCTGAGTCCGAGGCCATCTGCCCACAGGCAGGGCGACACATTTTCCTTTCAGGGGAGAGCTAGGTGGTATGTCAGTGTCTAGCACAAGGGGCTGTCAGTTCCGAGAGGGCAGCCCGGTGCTGAATGCTTGGTAGCCAGCAGTTGTAGGCACACATGCAGCACCCACCTGAGTAATGCTCACTGAAGACACCATTCATTTTACACTGCTGGCTTAATATAGGGCCACCTTCTCCAGGCAGTGCTCCCTGCTCAGGAGACGAGCTACCACCTCGCTCTCTACAGTCCTCCCCCTGAGCTGTCATTGGTGCTCCCTGGCTTGTTCTACAGGATATGGGAATCTGGTGTTACGGCTTTCTGAGTGTGAACTTAATTGGGATTAGGACTCAATTGCTGCCTTCCTTTGGAGGCCTTGGCCATGAGGCCCACAACAGGTACTTAATAAATGAATAAATGACAAGACAAGGAAGAGGACAACGTGAGTGGGACCTGCTGCCTGATTTTAGGAGGTGACGGGATGTGATATGGTGCAGGTGAAAGACCATGGGGGCGGGAGTCACATAGGTTTACCCCGTCTTACCCTTGCCCTTGACTCAAGTGGAAATCTTTTAGCTCTCAGATGCTGTTTCCTTACCTGTGTGATAGGCTATTAAGAGCCATTCTATGGTGGCAGCCAGGGAGGGGCCTAGATGGTGCAGCCCCAGGCTTGCTCCTGCCCCCGAAGGCCCCTAGTTTCCACTCACCACTTGCCGGGAGGGGAGGCAGCTTGGTGTTCCGGGTGTGTGGGGCTGGGCCAGCCCATGAGCAGGAATCCTTGAGTGACTTAAGCTTCTCTCGCTTGAGCTGCTCGAACCGGTGCATGGAGCTCACATGTTTGCGCAACTGCAGGCCACCAGCGGATGAGGCAGCCAGGGCCGGGGCATCAGCCCCTGGTGGTGTGTCATCCAGCGCTGTCAGGTCTCCCAGGCTCCCGGGCCCCGCCCCCGGCATCTCCACGCCGCTGTCATTGTTGGGGGCACTGCCCAGGGGAGAGGGCTCACTGCTGCAGGATGACTGGGCCCCGGGGCTGGACTGACACAGCTGCAGCAGGGTGGAAGGTACAGGCTCAGGGGTGTGAGGATGCACCTGGTCCTACATCCACACTACACTCTTGCACTCTCAGGAAGGGACTTGGGGGAGGAAAGAGCTGCTCCTGGGAGTGGCTCGCAAACCATCACATGCCTATCTGTGCATGGTGGTCACATCTCTCCTCTCAGCTGTGGCTCTCCTGCCCAGGAGATGGGCCTGAACTATACCGCTCATGCACCTGGTGTGCCGGAGGCACCCAGCACAGTGTGACAGAGGGCAGTGAAGCCTTCCTAGCCTCTGCAAGGAGGGCATGATGGTGTGAGGAACAATGAAGTCAGCAACTTGTGACTTCTCTCAGGTGGGAAGCTCTCAACAGGCCAGATGTAAGTGCTTAGAAAGGCTGACAAGGGACAGGGAGCTGTAGGATGTGGCCCTTGCTTGAATGGCCACCTCAAACCAGCCCTTCCTCTAGGGTCAGGCAGAGTGCAGCATGGTGCACATTTATTGTCTGGAAGGCCACTGAACCCAGGCTACAGCACCGTGGCCAGGGCAGCTGGGTGCAGGCAAGGCTCAGCCCAAATGCAGCAAGCACCTTGGGACTTGTTTCTCGGCCCCATGCCACCATATCCAAGCCCTTTCCTTAAGATGTGGCAATGTTCCTGGTGAGCAGGATCCTCTCAGGCCTTGCCTATAGTACTTCTGCTTGGCCTGCAGGAGCCTCTGTAGGTCAGACCCCACCTCGGCAGCTTGGGCTCACACCTCTCCTCCCCGCTGGCCTTCTTGCCGCTCAGCCTCCCAGCTCCCTGCCCCTGCCAGCCCCTCCTGCCAGCCTTTGCTTACTCTGAAGCCTTTCCTCACCCTGCTGTCTGCCTCTGCATACCCAGGGGCCTTGGCCCAGGAGCCTGGACTGACAAGCTCACCTGGGCAATGTCCCGGACATCCCAGCCCACCCTCACTTGGCCCAGCCCACCCCCATTCCTCACCCAGTTCCTCCGCTCACCTCAGTACCGTCTATCCTTAGGGGAGGTACAGTTGGGAAGAAAGATATGGAGACAAATAACAGGTGGTTAGAACAAAAGGAGCAGAGGCCACAGGGGGAGGGCACAGAACAGGACAGAGGCTTGCAGCCTGGCAGTGCTACTCAGGGGCTGATTAGAGAGGTGGACACTAGGGCCACTCCCACCCCACGCAGACCACCCTGGGCCAGGCTGCTGCAGCTGGCCAGCAGGAGCTGGGTCAGAGGAGCAGCCTGGGCATGACAGATGCCATGCAAGGCCCAAAGCGGCAAAGGGAGAAAGGCTGAGGTGGAGACAGGAGGGACCAGTCTGCTACAGGAAGAGGAGAGGCCTCTCACAGAGTCCACTGCTGGAGCCGGGGGCAGTGCGCTCAGCCAGGTGGGCTGCCCAGCTCTGCTTACCCCGGAGCCCTCTGTCTTGATGGCTCTGATGTGCAGGCAGTCCTCCACTCCCTGGCTGGTGCTGCTGGCCTCAGCACTGTCCTCAGATCCCCGGCCACCAGGCTCGATGCTGGCCTCATTGTCCCCGTTCTCCTTGAGCAGAGGGGCGCGGAGGTGCACGTCATTGCGCTGCTTCTTGGTGACGTGTGCATCTGGGCCGTGGACCGTTTTCACATGCTTCCGGAGCGAGCTGGGGTCTGTGTACCGCTTGGTGCAGCCTGGGATCTTGCAGATGTAGGGTTTCTAGGCAGAGAATCACAGCTGTGTTATGGTGGGGCATGCACCACACTCCATGTGTGCACTCCCTGTCCTGAAGCTGGCTTGTATGTCTTGGCAGACCTGCCTGGCACTCACTGGTGGCATGATTGCAAGCAGTTCCCTGGGGATGGAGCCACGCCCTGGCCTGGTCCTCTATGTGGCCTTCACATGCGGGTGATGTGCTTGGTAAGGAGAGCTGTGGCAACCAGGAGCTAAAGACACTGGGAGGGACATACATGCCTCCCCTGAAAACTGCACTCTGGGATTGCTAGGCAGAAAGGGGGTACGTGCCTCACACCCTGTGAGATGGCCCCAGCAGCCCTGACTTCTCTGATGAGCTTGAGGCCCAAGAAATCACTCAGAGCCACCGGGTGAGGGGCCGAAAACCCAGGGCTGCAGCATCTCAGTCTTGGGCTCAGTCGCCACTGTCACGCTCACATCCACAGACCCACTCGCATGAGCCCCGCATGCCAGACCCACACCTGCCTACGCGCATGTACTTGGCTGATCAACATGTTGATCCGTCCACACTTGCACATACATGTAGGCATGCTGAAACACATACATATTCAAACACACATACCACACCACCACATATGTACTAGTACATACACACTAACCCTCCACAACACATACACACTTAAACACTCATTTACAGAGCACCCTCACACCTACACACATGCACACATCCCCCCTATACACCTATATACACACACATTTACATACACATCTACCTCCCTACATCCACACTCACATTAATGTACACACACCACCTCTCCATACCTGTATGCACATATATATATATACACACACACACACACACACACATATTGCCCCACGTCTACACAGACCCATATATTCATGCACACATCACTTCTCCATACTGCATATACACACACATGTGCACACATACATACACACACACACACATTCATTGCCCAGGCAGCTCTTACTATAGAGCCCCCAAGGATGCAAAGGCCCTTGGGAATTCTTTCACTTCCCCATGCACATGGGAGCCAGGTCCTTCGGTGGCTACACTGAGCTGTTAGGAAGGCTCTCTCTGGTGCTTCCTGAGCCACGGTGTTTATGTGGCTGGGCTGAGAGGAGGCAGCAGACACCACAGCTCCTTCTAGTTGCCTTTGCTGGACTCTCAGCCCTGCCAGGGGTACTGGCTCTCTGAGGAGACAGTGTCGCTCTTAACCTTCCCAGGTGCTGAGGCAGCTGCTCCACAGCCCACCAGCTTGTGGGTGAAGCCTGTGCTCGGACGTTCGCACAGCCACAGAGGTCTTCAGTGTGAGCCTGGGGCTCTACCCCACACACGTAGCACCAGGAGCAATCACCATCTCTGGCCATTTGTTTCACCTGAAGGATAGGGCAGCAGAACCTGCCGAATGGCCCGAGGAATGGGGAACTGATGCGTGTGTGGAGACCCAGCATGCTCTGGGTGACCTGAGAGGCCACTCTTTGGAACTTGGAACTCCTGGCGCTATTTATGTTTATTACAGAGGAAACTATATTTTATGCTTATTACAGAAATGTTATGTTTATTTCAGGAGGAAACTGAGGCATGGAGAGGGCATGTGTGCCATGACATCATATGGGGCATCTTTCCTATAAAGAAGAGGGTATACAGAGCCCTGGTCTGTGCTCCAGAATGTGTGCAGGTCAGTGGGAAGTGGAAGGACATCCAGGTCCCCGTCTTTTGCCTGGCCTACAGGTGTCTACAAGCCATGCTCAGTGACCCACGCATGCCCACGCCGGACCAGCGCATGCGCACTGGCAGGTACCTCGCTTGAGTGGGTGCGGTTCTGGTGCTTGGCGCGGTCCGAGGCGTTGGAGAAGGCCTTGGTGCAGCCCTCGTGCTCACACACATACGGCTTCTCTCCGGTGTGGGATCGCAGGTGCGTCTTCAGGTTCTCCAGGCGGGAGTAGGCCTTCGAGCAGCCCTCGAACTGGAAGAAAGCAGGTGGATGGGTGGAGGCACCTCAGATCCAATGCAGGGGAGCTGACCCAGGTGCTAGCCCACCACCTCCTTCCCCTGGCCCTCCCTTCAGGGCCCCACCCCACTGGCACACCAAGAAGCACGAAGTTTAGTGCCAACAACTGCTTTCCCATTGGGTTTGCGTTTAGATCCCCGCCCCCACCCCAGCCTCATGCCGTCACAGATGGGGCTTGTGCAGAGGTGGTTGGATCTAGAGTGTGTGATGCTGGGACTGTGGCGTGTGACTGCTACATCAGTCCACCGACTGGTTTGGCATAGTTCTGGCTGGGATTCAGGCTGGCATTTCTACACCTGCCCCGGGGTGCTGTGGGTGTGGGGAGCCTGCATGTAGTACACGGCACAGACTCTTGTCTCCCTGTTGTCGCTTTTGCTGTCCTCCGCCACCATGAGGGGTTGCTCCTCAGCTCTGTGCCACCCTGCATTGCAGGCAGATGATTATGGACTGAAGCCTCTATAGACTGAACTAAGTAAACCTTTCCCTCTTTAACTTTGGGCAGTGGGCATTTTGCACCAGCAACAAAAGAAAAGTAATCAAGACACGTTCCTTTGCTGGAAACTCAGAAAAGGCTGACTAGTACATACATGAACTCTGAATGCATCAAAGACCACAGTGGAAGAGCTGGACTTTAAGTGTATAGATCCATATTTATATAAAGTTACATATTTATAAGCAATAAGTCTTAGAAGAAAGCAAAGTGGTAAATATTTGGGACCTTGGATTGGGGGAGGTCTCATAGCTTTAACAACAAAAGCACAAGCAAATAGAGCATTGGGCTTCACCAAATTTAAATTTTTGTGCTTCAAAGGAAATTATCAAAAAGTGAAGACAATCTGCAAAATGGGGAAAACGTTTGCAAATCATGTCTGACAACAGCCTAGCACCTACGTATACAAAACTTCTTAAAATTTCACAACAATGAAAATGAGATAGGTAAAAAATGGGCCAAAGATTTGAGTAGGCAATTCTCCAGAGAGGATGCACAAAGGTCCCTTACACGCTTGCACTACTGTTAGCTAATCCAAGCCACAGTGAGACACGACTGAGACTCCCTAGGAGTCTACGGCTACAATAAAAGACTTGTGACACCAAGTGTTCCCGAGGCTGTGGAGAGACCGTGACTCTTTTATACATTGTTGATGAGAATGTACAATGATTCAGCCCTTCTGGAAAAGGTTTTTTTTAATAAATGTTTTTTTGTTTCGTATTTTTTAGGAAAGAGTGTACAGGGTGTTCAGGGTCTCACTACCAGATTGGACTCATAGTGATCCGCCTGTTTACAGCCTCCCGAGTTGGGATTACAGGCGTGCGTAATCTTGAAAAAGTTTGAGAAGTCCTCAATTACTGTACCAATGGGTAACTGGACTCTTAGATACATCTACCTGAAAACATTTGAGAATTTATGTCCATAAAAACATGCACACCAAGTTCAGAACAGCACCATTTGTAATGAGCAACCGCCGACGAATAGGTAAGGAGACGATCTCAACGGCCCACAGAATGTCACACAGCTACAAGGGCTAATCCGTTGTCTTGTGCTGCAGTGGGGATGAACCTTGAAAAGCCGTTCAGCAAAAGCAGCCTGACCTAAACACTAAACATTGCAGATTCCGCTTTTATGAAATGTTCAGAACAGGCCAATCATGGACACAGTGTAGGTTACTAGTTTTCCAGGCCTGGAGGGAGAGAATGTGGAAGGGCTGCTAACGTACAGAGTTTCTTTTAAAGGTTGTGAAAATGTTTTGGAGGTAGATAGTGGCCACAGTTGCATAACTGTCAATATACCAAGACCATCCAGTTATGTTGTTTTAAAAAGGGTGAATTTCATGGTGTGAGTTTTATCTCAGTACAACCAACTTGTCAACCAAGGTAGCACATTTTACTCCATCTCAGATGCCGCGGATTTCAAGACAACTTGATTTCTGAGATAGTGTAATGAGAACAGAATACACTTCCACAATCTATGAAATAAAGGCAGCCAGAGGAGCTCGCAGACGTTTCAGCTACAGCCACGCCAGCGGGCTGGAGCCACCTCCGCTTTTGGAGGAGCAATTCATGTGCTGCAAACAAAAGCCTCATGGTGGACAGTCACAAGTCCTTTGCTTCCATCAGACACCACACAAAGGTCTCATCTTTGCATTCCCCTTTTTATTTTTCCTAAACAACAACAGAAGCAGGTGATTTCTAACCCCTCACTGCTCCTGTTATGAGTCAGGAAGGACACTTTTCTCCCTGTAGGTGCTCTAGGGTCGGGTCCCTCTGCCCACCATCCTCCAGGTAAGTGAGCTGTGTGTGTGTGTGTATGGGGGGGTTCCTTGTGCTCTGGGGCTCACAATCACAGACTGGCAACACCAGTAACCCCTTAGTGGTTACCAGGTGGCTCACACCCAAACAGCAAATTCACTGAGGCCTGAGACAGCAACAGATAAAAGGTCTCCAGGGCCCAAAGCAGGTGGCAAGCCAGGGCAGGAACAGACAGGATGACCTGTCGGCAGGACCTAGCCGGTGTCGCTGCTGTGGTCCGTTCACCCTGATCTGCGGGCAGTCAGCAACAGCCAGACGCGACTCCCCCGGCCTAGTGACACAGGGCAGAGACACTCACCGTGCACTTGTGCGGCTTCTCGCCCGTGTGCCGCCGCATGTGGACCACCAGCATGTACTGCGCTTTGAAGGGCTTCTGCTCACGCGTGCAGGCCTGCCAGCGGCACACGAACTCCTTCTTCTCCCCGTGGATGTGCTCATTGTTGATGTGCTGCCGAGGGACAAGCCCACGAGGGTGAGTTGAGGTGCTCGCCCACGCTGCTCTGTCTGCAGTGTGCCAACCACACTGGACTGCTGCCCACGACCCCCTGCCCACCACTTCTCTCCTGGACCCCCCACCACATGTGGACCACTGATCCAGCCATTGCCTCTAGCCTTCAGGCTGGGTGTACAAGGCGTATGCAAAAGATAGGTTAATTTTGTGTTTAGAGTGAGGCCCCATCTCCAAGATACCTCATTTTATGTAGCTGAAAATCCAAAATCTCTAAAATATGGAAGACTTCTGGTCCCAAGATTTTGGATAACATATAATCAACCTGTATTAAAATTACCTTCCGGGGCCTGGGAGCTAGCTCAGTAGGATAAGCGCTTGACTGGCAAATGCAAGGATCTGAGTTCAATCCCCGGTTCCACAAAAAAAAAAAAAAAAAAAAAAAAAAAAAAAATTAACTTCCTCCATTTTTTTCTACACTTTTTAAATGTGCTTCTAGGAAATGTAAAATTGTACGGTAGGCTGGCACTGGTGACTTGTAGTCTCTCCTCCTGGGTGGCACTACTGGGGACCTTTGCAAACTGCAAAGCTGCCTGAGAACTGGAGGTCAGGCGCTGGCAGCACCTGGGCCCAGAAGACAACAGCCATTTGGCCCTCAGGTCCTGTGCCATCGCCCAGCTGACACACGTACCAATGCCACTGCTGGGTAGAGCAAAAATACACAGCACTTGGAATATGCAGAGAAATGTCAGGTTAGCCTCACCTATTTTTAAAGCCTTTCAAGTGATTAAAATGCTCCCTGACAAGACCTTTCGTGTTTCCCTTATCGGTTTACTCAGCAACAAATTGTCAGTAATCACCAGGGCTTCTGCTCTCCTGTGCGCCTGCGTCGTCCACCTTCCAGGGAGCTAAGGAGGCCAAGCTGTGCTCTTCAACTGACCAGCCTGTTATTCCTGGGCCAGCTGGAGAAAACGAGCTCCAGCCTAAGGGATAGACCTGGGCACAGAAAGGCCATGTCCCCCTCCTAGAATCCCCCGCCCACACCCCGTAGCCAGCATCTGCACAGAGTACACGTTCTACCTCCTCACCTCTGTAAGTCTCTAAGTTCAGAACCAGATGGAAATATTGCCCCTCCCCCCAGTCTGATCTGATCTGTCCTGAGACCCATCCTCCAATCTCCCCTTCTCTATCATTTATCCCAAAAAGGTGGTACAGGCCAGGAGGAATTAGAGCAGTCCCTGGGTCACATGTCCTCTTCAGCTGCAATGAGCTTGCTAGGAAATTCTGGTGTCCCGGGTGAAAATTTGGACAGGAAGAACCCAAAATGCAATAGAAACCTGCAGTGTTTGAAAGGAGGTTGCTGGAGTAGAGAAAGCAGAGAGAAGTCGTGTGCCTGAAGTGCCAAGCTCAGAGTCTGGGAGAAATAAACTCTTTGGGGACAGCTTCTGCGAATGAGCAGGAGGGCGTGTGTGTGTGTGTGTGTGTGTGTGTGTGTGTGTGTATGTGTGTGTGTGTGCGCACGCGTGCATGAGCGCACATTGGGAGCAGTTTGTTCCTCAGTAAATTTAAGTTCTTTTTTGGATGGAAAAGGTCTTTACCCAGAGCTGGTGTGGGCATGAAGGAAGGAGGCACTGAGTATGGAGCGCCTGCCACATGCTTAATCCTCCCCTGCTCAGGACCACTCGCTAGCAGAGTCCCAAGAACCTCCCTCCCCTGCGCGTGCCACCTGGACCCTATGACTGTCACCATCATGGATTTGGCTGGATAAGATCTAAGTGGGAACCAAGGGGCAGTTCCTGCAAAGCGCAGGCTCTGGGAACTTCCTCCACCAGCCCGGAGCATCAGAACCCAGCAGCTGTAAGCAGCTCCCTCCCCAATGTGGGTATAGAAACCTGCCCCCGCTTGTAGTCAGGGTGCATGTGTGATCGTCTCCAAAAGGAATGATCACCTTCCTCCAAGGAAAAACACCTTACCAGGCTTACGGTCAGGTTTGTAATCGTGCAGAGGCCAGCTGATTGGACAAGTCTTACTTCCCTCTATGTGCTGGCAACTAAGAAGTTAGGGGAAAAGAGACGTGCATGTGGACTTCAAATACTGACTCTGCGCCAGGCTTCTCGTCACTGTTCCCCTTTCCTTGTGTTTCTCATTTACTTATTTTCCTATACTCTGCCTCAATTTGATCACACTTCTCCCACTGTTCTTGATTCTCTCTGTCTCTCTGTCTTTCTGTCTCTCCCAGGGATTGAACTCGAGACCTTGAGCTTGCCAGGCAGGCGCTTATGCCACTGAGCTGTCTCCCCAGTCCTTCGTGATACTTTCTGAAGTAGTTTTGTTAGTCCTCTTTCTTGAGCTTTTGGCTGCATTTCATGACTGCCTCAATACCCTGAATTAATCCAAATATTTATCTTTCGGGGTCATTTGACTTTGGGGAAGAGCCAGAAATCACACAGTGCCACATCTGGTGGGCGAGGACCCGCTGTGATGCTTTTAGGAGGCCGCCTTTTCACTGGCTGGTGCTTGGCAACAGCATTCATTGTATTTTTGACAACTTAAGATACTTATGAAAGAGAATTACTAAAACTGCTTCATAAAATAGAAAAATGAGGGAATAAGTTTCTTCAAGCAAACGAGTATTTTGAGGGGAATTCATTGCAATGTGTTCTACTGTAATTTTTTCTTTTTATGTATTTGGTACAGGGTCTTGCTATGCAGCTTGGATTTGTAGTAATTCTCCTGTTTTCAGCCTCCCTAGCATGCAGCGAATGCACAGCATGTGGTGCCAGGAATCGAACCCCCGTCCCTGCGCTTGCCAAGCAGGTGCTTAGGACCACTGAGTTATCCTGCTCACCCTACTGTAATAATTTTTAAAAAATGTTTTGGCTCTCAGTGTGGTTCTGATCAGCCCTCATGAGCGAGCGTGCCTCCTGCTTGCGGAGGACGCGGATCCTGCTGCTCCTGGGGCCAGTCTTGAGCCCTTTCTTTCTGGCACAGGCCTAGAAGGCTCAGACCCTGTGTGACCAGGACTCCAGCCCCAGGGCAGGACACTAGAATGGAGGCTTACATGCACCAGCTGCTCTTGGGTGTCATACTCCTTGGTGCAGTCTTCCCAGTGGCAGTTGGTCTCATAGATGACCACCTCGGCCTCCTGCTTACAGTCATCCCTGTCGAGGTCTTCCTTGAGGTCAGCCAACTGCTCCTGGGGGAAAAATCCACTCATATAAGTCATATCCAGGACGTAGCCCTGATGACATCACTGTTAGCCTCATGCAGTCTGTGCCAGGGCTGTGGGTTGGTCCATGTTTGATTGCCCATGTACGCACAGGTTCAGATGCAATGCAAGCAAGCACATATGTGTGTGCACACAGTTGCCAGCTTTTCCAGCTCCTGTGCTCAGCTCAGCCTTGTCCACAGCTCTTCTTGCTGGGAAGCTGGCCCATCCCTCCTCTCTGGTGCTGGCTTGTGGGTGTTATGGTTTGTGTGTAGTTGTCCCCCCAAAGTGTCATACAGTCATGGGGCGGGGACTTCTAGAGTTTGAGATTAACTCATGATTAAGGCTGGGATTAAGGGTCTTAGAAGTGCTGGGATTATGGGTGAGTGCTACACCCAGCCTGGGGCAGATAAGGCTTCCTCTCTGTTGCCATTGTTGTTGCTACTCCTCCATTTTGCTCTCTTGCTCTTTGCCACCACCATGAAAGGTTGCCCTCAGCCATGTGCCACTCTGCTGGGGAGCCAGCTGAGTATGGACTGAACCCCCTAGTAACTGTGAGCTACATAAGCCTTTCCTTCCTTCATTTTGAGTGGCAGGTATTTGTCCCAGCAATGACAGAAGAGTAACCGAGACAGTAGCGGAGCTGTCATATTAGTCTCCTCACACTCAAGGATGGCAGGACAAAAGGCAGCAACTTGCTGGCTCGGTTAGGGTTCTGTTGTGGGGAGTTAGGGTGGGCCCTGAAGGCACTGGGAGTGGGAATATGTGTGTTTTTAAAGTGTGCTCCTTGCTAGGGGCAAGATAAAACACGTTCTTGCTGTGCGGAATGGAATGGCTCCTTTCGGACGGTCCCCACTTCCTTGAGGCCTCAGGAAGCAGCCGGAGCACACGCATGGCCGTGCGGAGACCTACACAGACAGCGCTCTGCACATCCTTCTACACTAGTCAGCCCGCAACAGCTCCCAGACACGGGCATCTGCATGCCTGTACCACAGCTGGGGAAACAGGCTTGGGAAGAGGTCGATTCGTCCTTCCCAGAACACAGAGCCCATCTGTGGCCGCCTAGATTCACACTTGAATCTCCTGACCACAGTGGGGGCCACATGGCTATTTCAGGGAGGTGAAGGACAAGCCCTGGATCTCAGGGCTGTCCAATCCCAGCCAGTGCTAACCTGGAGCTGGCCAGGGACAGCTTCCGGGCCGAGGAAAAGGCCATGTGGGATGCTCAAAAGTACTCAGGGACCCCCCCATCAGGCTCAGAGCAGAGCCAGGCAGGGGCAAGGCTACAGAGACTTAGTTTACAACTCAAACCATTTTCAAACACAACCAGGAAACATGCTATCTTTTTAAACATCCTCCAAGGAAGACATGTACAGTGCAGGCTTGGAGGGGTAAGCCCTCCCTATCACGACCTGCATCTGGGGACTTAACTATGCTGTATCTCTTCTAGGAGAGACAGAAACTAGCGCCAGGACACTCTGCTGTGGCCCACACTCATGTCCTTGACTAATTTTCCACCAGGGCACAAATAGCTCTTCCAAGAGGGCTTCAGGTTCATTCTCTGGGTGGTGCCTTTCAGTTAATGTACTTTCTCTGAGAAGGAAACTAGAGCCATGTTGTACAGCGACTCGCTTTCTGGGCTGACCTACGACCCTGCAGACTGGGACATGAGGGGACATCTGGCTTCCAGAGCTTCAGCAGCAGAACCATCTGGGAGGCTGCTGAAGTGCAACCTTGGGACAGGAGATAAGAAGGTCTCCCAGTGCCTGCTCTGCGTTTGAAGAAAAACGGAAGTAGATTTATGGTTTCCATATGCTGCAGGCTCTGTTCACTTCAGACAAGAGCTGCAGAAGCTGATGGATTGATGTGCAGGAGGAGAGGAGCTCTGCAGGGGGCACAGGCCCCTGGCTGAGCAGGGTATCATCATGGCCTGCAACTAGGAGCACTTCAACAGAAAGGGCACTGCAAAAGCTAGCCCGTGCACTTGGTGGTGAGCCGGTATGTGCAGTGACAGGAAGACCACTTCTCAGACCAAGGGCTTTCTGTGCTGGGCAGGAAGGAGGCCTCTGTGGCCCACCTAGGCTTCAGGGGGTACAGGGACCCGCTAAGGAGTGAGGCATGGGCCTCCCAGTGCTCAGCATCTGCCTCCTGCTCTGTCCTCGCCACCCCAGTCTGTTTATCTTCCCTGGATATGCACAGTCCTCATCAATTCCAACAGCCCCCGATGATGGCCAGCCTCGTGGAAGCCATGCATCATGTGGAGACTGGGTTTGGTGTCAGCAAGGGGAGAAGAATTTGTCACCAACCCCTCTGTTTGCCTGACAATAGCAGGACCTAATATTTCATGAAAATTAAGTGCCCAGAGCATGCCCGATGATTTACAGTCTTGATAAAGGATGGTCTAGCAAACACGAGGAGACGGGGACATGAGCCCTGGAGCATCCTTGGTGGTCATGCTGGGGACTCTGTAGTAGCAAATGAGACTGGGCCACTGTATGATGGCTGAGGGGAGGGTCAGAGACTCACCTGGAAGCACAGGGGCACACTGCACCCTTCACCCCACAGACCCTTGACTAAGCAGGGCCTGCCTACCTGTCAGCTAGGAGCATTAGAAGGGACAGGGCTTGCAAAGGGACCTGCCCAAGCCTTGGGGCTCTGGGTTGCTCTGTTCCTTCATCTTCCTACCAGGAATCACCCTACCCTCCAGCTCCGAAGTGACCCAGGAGCTAGGTTCAGAATGAAGGTGGGTACAAGGAGGACCAGAGAAGTGAAGATGGTGGGGGATGCAATTCTAGGAGAGAAAGCAGCACCGAGGGGCCATTCAGGACATCAGCAGCACACTTTGCTCAATTTGTTTTGCTCATATCTGAGGTAGGAGGAAGAGAGGGCTGCAGCCCAGGACAAGGAAGGATAGGTAGAAGTTCATTCATTCATTCATTCATTCATTCATTCATTCATTTATTCGTGGATTCATTCAAGACAGGTTTGATATATGGTGCTGGGGATCCAGCAATAAGATGTGTGAACCCACCCCACCCTCTCAGGTCCATCTATCCATGCACCCATCCTTCCATGTACCTGTCCACCCATGCACCCGTCCATCCATGCACCCATCCATCCATGCATCCATGCATCCATCCATGCACCCATCCATCCATCCATGCACCCGTCCATGCACCCATCCATGCATCCATCCATGCACTGATCCATCCATGCACTCGTCCACCCATGCATGCATCCATCCATGCACCCGTCCATCCATGCACCCGTCCTTCCATGCACCCGTCCATGCATCCGTCCATCCATGCACCTGTCCATCCATGCACCCGTCCATCCATGCATCCATCCATGCACCGATCCATCCATGCACCCGTCCATCCATGCACCTGTCCATCCATCCATCCGTTCATCCATCCATCCATGTACCCGTCCATCCATCCATGCACCCGTCCATGCACCCATCCATGCATCCATCCATGCACCGATCCATCCCTGCACTCGTCCACCCATGCACACATCCACCATGCA